TTCTCTTTAGACATTTGTATCAATCCTTGATAAACTTACAGTTGGCTTAGGGGTTTCTAATTTGATTCCCCAGTTTCAGTTCTTGAAATATAACTACTTGTTTACTTGTAATATCTCAGGCCTTCACACATACTGCTCAGTACGACGAGGCCATTTCTGATTACTTCAGACGTGAAGACAGTCGAGGAATTTCCCAGCTGCCCTTGCGGTATGGCATGAACCCCCATCAGGCACCTGCTCAGCTCTACACTTTACGCCCAGCACTTCCACTTACTGGTATATATGATCACATTTGCTGCTACCAGATCAGTATTTAATCACAAAAGATAGAATACTAATATTCCACTACAATTCTGACTCCATCTCAGTGCTGAATGGATCTCCAGGATTCATTAACCTGTGTGATGCTCTGAACGCCTGGCAGCTGGTGAGAGAGTTAAAGAAAGCTCTTGGGTTGCCAGCCGCCTCTTCATTTAAACACGTCAGCCCTGCAGGTATGAACACAAACTTGCTTCCCAGATGCCAGTAAAGCTCACGTCTTTCTTGTAGAGTTTCAGAAAAGGGCTTGGACTTTTTTAAGACAGACATTTGAAACAAATGTTCACCTTTCACCACAGGAGCTGCAGTGGGCATCCCTTTGAGCGAAGATGAGGCCAAGGTGTGTATGGTGAATGACATGCGCCAGGATCTCACCCCTCTCGCCACTGCATACGCCAGAGCCAGAGGTGAAACTTCTCTGCGTGCATCTTCACTTTTTCACCAAGAATACATTTTCAGGCATTAATCTCACAAGGTGGATGTGTAGTTTTTCCATGTTTAAGCCTAAAGTATGGAAAAATCTGAAAATATTGTAGGTTCTGACAGGATGTCCTCTTTTGGAGACTTCATTGCTTTGTCTGATGTTTGTGACGTCCCCACTGCCAAGATTATCTCCAGAGAGGTGTGTGATTAACTTTTTCTTTCATCACATCTAAGAGTTCATATTCTCTCAAAGCATTAGCCCCTTATTTTGTACAATTTATACAAAACTTTGCCCAATGTTTTTAGGTGTCGGATGGTATTGTTGCTCCTGGTTATGATGAAGAAGCTCTGCGAATTCTCTCCAAAAAGAAGAATGGAAACTATTGTGTCCTTCGGGTAAACCATGCTTGTTTGTTGATTTAAAGACAAAGAAGAATAGTTATTTGACTAAGTTTGCTCCACCGTTTCCTGTTCCATTCACTTTGTTTAAAACAGCCCTTACTAAAAATAATTTATATATTTTTGTTGGTTATGCTGTACCACGGTATTGTGATAATACATGTGACCCTGGATCACAAAACCAGTCTTAAGTCACTGGGGTATTTTTGTAGCAATAGCCAAAAATACATTGTATGGGTCAAAATAGATTTTTCTTTTATGCCAAAAATTATTAGGATATTAAGTAAAGATCATATTCCATGAAGATATTTTGTATATTTCCTACTGTAAATATATTAAAACTTAATTTTTGATTAGTAATATGCATTGCTAAGAACTTCATTTTGAAATCTTTAAAGATTATTTTTTTCAATATTTAGATTTTGTTGCACCCTCAGATTCCAGATTTTACATAGTTGTATCTCTGCAAAATATTGTCCTATCCCAACAAACCATACATCAATGGAAAGCTTATTTGTTTAGCTTTCAGATGTATAAATCTCAATTTGACCCTTATGACTGGTTCTGTGGTCCAGGGTCACACGTTTGGGGTCGGTAAGATTATTATAATTTTTTTGATATTCTTAATAGTCATTAGGACTGCATTTATTTGACCATAAAACAGTAATATAGTGGATATGTAATTTATTACTGTGATGCAAACTGAATTTTCAGCATCATTACTCCAGTCTTCAGTGTCACATGATCCAATTTTTTTTTATTTAATTTTATTAAATGAACAGCATTTGTTTGAAATATATATATTAATGTAAAAACACTTTAGTGTCACCTTATTAATATTTTTCAGAAAAAAAAAACTTACTGAACCCAAACTTTTGAACAGTACTTCAAAGAATGCTCCAAAAGCCCATGTGCTTCTGAGCCTTCATAATGTATGTCCTGTTTTAGATGGATCCTGAGTATGAACCTGATGAAGAGGAGGTGAGGGTGCTGTTTGGTTTGCATCTCAAACAGAAGAGGAATGGAGCTCTCATTGATAAAGAGCTCTTCAGCAACATTGTGTCAAAGGGCAAGGTGAGAAACGCCATTACTTTTATGTTTATGTAAGTTCTGATTTTAATCAGGCATATTGTTCAGTGCTTTTTTTGGGGGGTTTTTGGGGGATGTGAATTGTGAAACGATATTCTGTAGTTAATGTAGGGCACATTATTTTATCTATTGCAATTTGATTGGGCTGTGGGAAAAGGGCAATGATATTATTGTTAATATATAAAGAAATGTATTTTTAATACAGATTGTTTTTTTCTTGTGGTCTTATTAAAGCTTTCTGAGAGTGCCCTGCGAGATCTCATTGTAGCCAATATCGCTGTGAAGTACACTCAGTCCAACTCTGTGTGTTATGCAAAAGATGGTCAGGTAACCAAAACTTTAAAAGCAAAAAGGTTTTAAAAATAAAAATTTTATTGTCAAAATATATAAATTTTTGAAAATTAATTAAACGTAACTTCATACATTTGTGTGTGTGTGTGTGTGTGTGTGTGCTTGTTAGGTGATTGGCATCGGCGCTGGCCAGCAGTCTCGTATCCACTGCACCCGGCTGGCAGGAGATAAGGCCGATAACTGGTGGCTCAGGCACCATCCACGAGTGCTCAACATGAAATTCCACAGTGGAATTAAACGTGCAGAGATGGCTAATGCCATTGATCAGTATGTCAGTGGAACAGTTGGAGAGGTATTGTATCCAAAAGTTGGTTATTTGTACTAGTCATAGAGGGATATATTGGCCAGCCTAATTACCTTGAAAATATTTATTATAAACCTTGTCAGTCAAATCTTACAATCAATCAAATCTGAGAAGTATTTTTATGTATCACAATGTTTTTGTAGATTGCTGGGAGGTGGAGTTTTTCCTGATGATATTGAATATTTGTTTGTACATCAGGGCCCAGATAAAGAGGTTTGGAAGGGTCTGTTTGAAGAAGTTCCTGAGACTCTGTCAGAGGTTGAGAAGAAGAACTGGATCAGTTCTCTGCAGGCTGTGGCCCTCAGTTCTGATGCTTTCTTCCCCTTCCGGGACAATGTTGACCGCGCCAAACGGGTAAACACCCTCTCCTAGTGTTACTAAGATTAAGTCATTATCCTTGCTGTTTTATGCACCCTTGTATACATCTTGCAATATAACAAGTTGCTTGTTGCTATATTATACCATCTTAAAAATACACCCAAGTATGTATATGAATGATGTAGGAGTGACTGTGATGAAGTGATGTTCTATCTTTGTATGGTTTTAGAGCGGTGTGGAGTATATTGCTGCCCCCTCTGGCTCTACCGCGGATGAGGTGGTCATCAACGCCTGCAATGAGCTGGGAATCACCCTGGTGCACACCAAAATCCGTCTCTTCCATCACTGAAAAGCACTACAAAACATCCATTTGAATACAGATATCTAGCTAGGTTCACTGTTACAAACGTTTAGGGTTCCTTTCTCTTTAGATGTACATCTTTTACTGTAAAACTGAGTTACTACCAATGTTTCATAACCTTGCATTATAGCTAGCCTGTCCATTTTTACATGAACTCGTTTATTCAAATTTTGCAAAATTTCTCTTTTTACTCAAATCCTAAAGCCAACAGCAAAGTGAAATTTGTTGCTAAATAGTTAGGAACATTCTTCATACATAGCTTCTAAAATACTGATAATCTCCAAATAAGATGATCCACTTCTGTTAATTTAATATATTTTTCTTTGCTTAATCTGTGCCATGCCGTACTTGTTGGTAACTGCTGCTCGAAACATTTTCAATGTGAAATTGCCTCCATACACTTCCTGATGCATTCCATTGTGCTGCCTTTAGTGTCCATGAGCATTCCAAAAATAAAAACACAAAGTATGATAGTTTGTCATAGATTCCATCAAGGGTTTATTTGCATTTATTGACATGTCTTGTTTTTTGCAAGGTTTGTTTACTTTAGAACCTAGTTCCAAAATGATTGCTTTTAGTAAAATTTTATAAATGCAATTTGTCATGAATACTGCAATGTATCAAAAAATGGATTTAACAGTAGTGAAAACTGGTGTAGACAGTAAAACAATGACAGATAAATGAGACAAACATCATTCTATACAATCCAAACACTTCTGAATGAAGGGGATAAATAGTCAAAGAATTTAGAAAATTTAAATTAGTATCAATCTAAAAATAGTGCTGACTCTAGTCTAAATAATGAGCCATGTAAAAAAAAAAAAAAAGCCTTTTTGTATAAAAGACAAATTAAGACTTGGTTTTTGGTACTTCAGTGTACCCCCAGTGGTGCTCTAACATTCTTATAAAACAGTGCTTATGTTTACTACGTTCTCATATTTGCCCAATATCAATTTATAAAGACTTAAAGATTTATGAAATCCTCTGACAATAATGGTAAGGTAGTTTTTATAAATTTAATTCAATTGGAAAGCTGCAGAGAAAGTGAACTTTCCTGTTATAGTTTTGGTATCAACAAATAGACAAACAGTTTTAACTGCATTGGGAATTATCTTCATTTAATATTGCAAGAAGTTGTTTAATTGATGTATATAGCACACTACCAAACAAAAAAAGTTAAATCTAATCAAATTCCTCAACCAAACAATAGCCAATCACAGGCTGTAAATGAATCCAGCTGTTGCTATGGCATCACAACAGCAGCTGTAAAGCAGCAGCTGGATGGCAGTGGAGATGTAGTAACAAACAGGGAGGTTTTAAGGCAGTATGTGAATAGTACATTCTCGTATAACATCACATCTTTATTACATGTCCCAAGTAAAATGTTGCATAAAGGAGGCAGAATGTCATGGTGCAGTTCGGTCAGAAATGGTTTTACTCTTGGGTTTTGGCATTGGCCACAGCATCTACAAGAAGCTCAGGTCGGAGACATTCGATGGGGCATTGAATGTTCTGGAAGAACAAAGGGGAATATGTCATACAAAGGAAACCAGAAATATTTATCTGCATACATTCAAATATATGTGAAACGTATCAATGCATTTGTCAATGCACATCTGCCAAAAATATAACCGCTATACTCACCACCCTGTGGCCGATGTTTAAGCGACGGGCTTCAGCAGGTCAGAGCCTATCTCGGCACCAGGCCTTCTGCAATTCTCACAGCGCCAACCCTGAGAAGCAGCACATACACAATGCATTCCAACCGTACCCAAGCATGTGAATTTGAAACACCCTCTCTGAATCTCATTTTAGTTCAAGTGTTTAAAAAAAATACCTTATCTTACCGTTTTGAATTTTTTGTTCTATAATTTGTAAGTTCTGTTCTTACCTGCTGTCCTCCATAGCATGTGCATTTGCAAATGGCCCCCAAGTATTCTTTCTGCCACTGGTTTCCGACCTGGTACATCTTTCCGTCATCGTAACATATGGACTCATCTATAACGAAATGCAAGAATTCTAATTCCACTGATTGGAAGAAACTTAACTACATAGTGTCTGTTGAGAGGAAGCACTTACGTGGTTCACACTTGAACTCTCCTTTGCCATTGCCCAGGCAAGTGCAGCTTATCAAGTGACCATTTTCTACCCGTCGCTCCCACTTTTCACCAATGCGGTAGTTATTTCCATTGTCGTGACACCATTCTGCGTAAAAAATGGTATTTAGAGTGGACACACTCATACAGAATACAGGATCATCTTTATGGTGCCCAATCCTGTTCCTGGAGATCTACCATCCTGCAAAGTTCAGCTCCAACCCTGATTCAATCCACACCTAAACAAGCTGTAAACAATTACAGACAGCTGTGTTGGTGCAGGGAACTTAAATCGGCAGGTAGGTAGTGGGGCTGAATCCGAAATCACCCCATACCCTCATTCACTATTTCCTACATTAGGCAACTAATACAGTTCACTTGAAGGAGTAAATGAAAACGAGTGAATTCGGACACAGTGCCCCAGAAGGACTGCCGCTTTTGCATAGTTTGTGTTTACTGTTTAATAATCATTTGAAACTGGCAAATTGGCAGCTCCAGTAGTAAGATGAAAGTATTTATCTTGAACTTTGTCATTGAAACTATGTATAAAACCTAATTAAACAATTTAATAATCAATTTACAATAAATTTTTTACCAGTGTTGTATTATGCTGTACGCCGTGGATGAGGGCTTTGTAAAATGAATGGATGGATGATTCAGCTGTGGTTGCCATCTTCTGGCGAGATGTGGCAATTAATTCGCTGCGTGACTCTCACAGTGCATTATGGGTATTCTCTAGCTGTTGCGCATACATCAGTTGCACACTTGTTATTGCTGTGGGATTTAATAAGTGAACTCAATAATGTAAGGTTTCAGATACCACTAAAAATGGCTGTCCTTTCAAATAGTTTCCTATTTAAGGGTATAGGGGACGGTTTCTGACACCGGGTGGGTATAGAAAAGAATCACCCAACTTTAAAATAATCACATTTTGCTGCTTTTCAGCCTGTAATGAAGACGGACACAGTTTTTGTTTTAAAGGGGTCATATGATGCGATTAAAATTTTTCCTTTCTCTTTGGAATGTTTCAAGCTCTTGGTGCATAAAGAAAATCTGTAAAGTTGCAAAGACTAAAGTCTCAAATCCAAAGAGATATTCTTTATAAAAGAGTCAGCCACACCTACCTAAAACGGCTCGTTCTAACACGCCCCCACATATCTACCTCACTATGTGGGAAGATTTGCATAACGCCGGCAACGCAACGCGTAAAAAGACAATATAAGTCATTAGAATCAGTAATTATGTACCCACTGGATGCAACAAATGCCTCGTTTGTAATGGTTTTAATGTTTTTGTGTTGTCGCTCCGGCCGGGACACGGCATCAACAGTATGGTGAGGGGCTTAACATTTCCGTCTCGCGCTTGAGGTATTCGGCCAATCACAACGCACTGGGTAGCTGGCCAATCACAGCACACCTCGCTTTTTCAGACCGATGAGCTTTGTAAAAATCGACGCGTTTCAAAAAGGCGGGGCATAGAGGAGAAACAATAATGTACAGTATGTGGAAAATAATGTGTTTTTTAACTTTAAACCGCATGAACATTTCATTACACCAAATACACAAAATAATGTTCTTTTTAGCAGCATCATATGACCCCTTTAACCAACTGTATTTACTCAGTACAACTTATAATTCAAGTTAAAGATATAACACCGACGTCAGAACAAAAATAAAAAACATAAAAAAAACAATCACTGAGTTGGAAAAAGGATCACCCCCTAATAAAAATTACTTGTAAACTGAAGGTGATTAGGTGTAGCTAATCACCTTCTCAATGGCACACAAAGCCATTTGACTTTCAACTGTGATCAGCTGTGGTCATTTTTATTAGAAGCATGAAAAGAGCTTTCCTGGAGCATTTCAGTCCTTGGTAGTGCAACTGAAGCAAACAATCAAGTATGGGTGGCAAGGTATCGTCAAAAGATATCTGAGGTAAAGTTGTGGACAGGCACAAGTCAGGAGATGGATACAAAAAAAAATGTCAAAGGCTTTATCAATGCCTAGAAGCACAGTGAAGTCTATTATTAAGAAGTGGAAGGTATTTGGTACAACACAGAACCTCCCTGGATCAGGACGTCGCTCCAAACTTGAGGAAACTGTTCAGAGAGGTTACCAAGAGGCCTACAGCAATAAGCAGCTGCAGGAATTTATGACAAAGAGTGGTCATTGTGTGCATGTGACAACATCACAAATTCTCCACAAATGTGGCTTGTATGGGAGGGTTGCAAGAAAAAAGATACTCCTCAAGGAAGGCCACATGCAGTCACGACGCACTTAGAAGATTCTGAGGCAGATGAGACTAAAATTGAATTATTTGGCCTCAACACCAAACAATATGTCTGGTGGAAATCCATCCAAATAATACCATTCCTACAATAAAGCATGGAGGTGGTAATATCCTGTTATGGGATGGGGCAAAATACCGTCAAATTCTTGAGGATAATCTGCTGCCCTCTGCCAGAAATTTGTCAATGGGAAGAAGGTTTATCTTCCAACATGACAATGACCCAAAGCACACAGCAAAACTGACCACCCAGTGGTTAAAGGAGAATGTCCTTGCATGGCCTAGTCGGAGCCCATACTTAAACCCCATTGAAAATCTGTGGAAGACTGCAGTCCACAAACGGTTACCATCAAATTTAACCCTTAAATGCATGAATGTTTCACCAATCATTATTACATATTCGGATATTTAGCGACCCGGACCTATATATCCAGCACGGATGGATCTCTAACTGCTGCAATAGCAAAAAACTATCTTGATATTTTAAGAACAATTACAAAAGAATAAAATAAAGCATATTTCGTTACCTTTTGAAACTTAAAAGGGCTCAATTTGAGCAGATTATTTTACCATCGCTGTCATCGTCAGAGCGCACTTACACAGTACATTCAGCATCTGCCTCATATTCACGATCTTAGCCATATTCTCAAAACTATCGTTTTCAATGACTTCATATTCAATATTTTGATAACTGGCAGCTTATTCACCACATCCAGCATCAAATGACAGTGACATTTATATTTCATTGCGTATAGTAATTGCTCTGCAGTAAAGCCATTCAAATCAGTTACATTTTTGCTGATGATATTCGTTTGTTTTATGCCTGCGGTAATTATGAGTGAAACTTCACGTCATCATTGTATCAAACAGTGCCACCTTAAGGAAAAAAAGATGCATTGCACATATTGAGTCATCAGATATGTAAATATAGTTGTGCAGGAAAAAATACTTACACATTTACATACCTCGGGTCTCTAGCGACCCTATAAACTTTTTACAAAAAATGTATCTGAAAACTGGCATTCTTTTATATTTTACAACTTTTTTTCTTGTTATATTGTTTGTAATTAATAGATTGAGGAATACAAAGAAAGTTGATGTCTAACTTTAAAATGAAGGAGGGAGAGGGTAGAGAATGATGTCCCGGGTCCCGAGTCTAGATGTGCAAAGTTAGTAGAGACACATCCCAACAGACTAAAGGTTGTAATTAAAGCAAAAGGTGGTTCAACAAAATACTGACACAAGGGGGTGATCCTTTTTCCAACTGAGTGATTCTGTTTCTTTTTTTTCTGACATGTTGGAGTTATATATTTCACTTGGATGTTATAAGTTGCACTGAGTAAATACAGCTGGATAAAACAAAAAGTGTGTCCGTCGTCATTTCAGGCTTCAAAGCAACAAAATTTTATTATTTTAAAGGGGGGTCATTCTTTTCTATACCCACTGTACATGAAGAGGAATATCTACAGGATAAATCCACCATTTGATCTTCAAGTGTGAAGTTACTCACTGGAAGAGTCACATCTGAAATGTCCACTTCCCAAGCCAAGACATTTGCACCAGAGTTTGAAGCCAGTGTCAGACATACGCTCCCATTCCTGTCCGACATCATGGTAAGTTGCTGTGAAGGTGTCATAACATGAGTCCTTGCTAGATGAAACATCTCCTGGAACTGTTGATTTTAACAGGAACAAAATAAAGAAACAATAAGACAAGCATCATTAGCATTTGCATTTTTGAGCTTTCATTGATCCTTGACCTGTGTTTCCAGCGGTGATCATTTCCTCCAAAATTTTGTGTTTGAGGGCTCCCTTCAAGGCCTCCACAATGACATTATAAGAGGCACCAGAGGTGAGACCAATCAGGGTTGCACTTGTGGATGATCCTGGGACATGCATCTGCAAAAATAGAAAGGGTGAATCTGAAAATAAGCTTAAGGTGATAAAGGAAGTTTTGGGTAATTTTTCTTTTTCGTTCATCTAAAATTTTCTGTAAATCCTTCCAAGGTCCTCACCTGAAACATCTTCTCATCTGGATGGGTAATGGGCTGACAGGACACCAGGTAACCAGAACTCTGCTGGTAGGGCTGCCATGAGATGGTGGTTTGGGTTTGGGCCTCTTGTGGTCTTCCAGTCTTGTCTTCTGGAAAATCAAAAGGATGGCCGTTGCCAGGCCTCTCACTAACCTGAATAATTTGAGGCACACGGCCCCCATCGGGTCCCACCATGGGGATGTAGACTAGGGCCTCCCCAACTTGAGGCACATAAGGCTGGGGTCGGGGTTGGTTAGGTTGAGGGACTGGTTGACGATGTTGAGGCTGGTAGCCTCTGTTGGGTTGATTGATACTCCACATGCTGCCCATGTGCATCAGATGAGTCATGCCCAGTGGGACCCACTACATGAACCCTGTTGTCAGGCTCAGGCACATCCAGCTTGTCTGGGCCACCATGATGGGGCAGACTGGGCAGATCGGAGGTCAGCTCTGGGCGGAAAAGGCAGCCACAGTTGCATCTACCAGCCAGTAAGTTACTAAAGATTCAGTCAAGTAATGATCGTACAGTACTTGCTGATATCTTTTTAAAGGGAAGTGGATCCAAGAATTTTCTCAAAATTCACCAATGTTTTACAATTAAACATGAAGGAGGATGTGCATTATATAGTTATACCAGCTGATTTATGGCGCTTTTCCACTGCGTGGTACAACTCAGCATGGCTCAGTATGGCACGGCACGGCTCGGCTCGGCTCGGTTTGATTTCCACTGCAGTATACTCCACATGCTGCCCATGTGCATCAGATGAGTCATGCCCAGTGGGACCCACTACATGAACCCTGTTGTCAGGCTCAGGCACATCCAGCTTGTCTGGGCCACCATGATGGGGCAGACTGGGCAGATCGGAGGTCAGCTCTGGGCGGAAAAGGCAGCCACAGTTGCATCTACCAGCCAGTAAGTTACTAAAGATTCAGTCAAGTAATGATCGTACAGTACTTGCTGATATCTTTTTAAAGGGAAGTGGATCCAAGAATTTTCTCAAAATTCACCAATGTTTTACAATTAAACATGAAGGAGGATGTGCATTATATAGTTATACCAGCTGATTTATGGCGCTTTTCCACTGCGTGGTACAACTCAGCATGGCTCAGTATGGCACGGCACGGCTCGGCTCGGCTCGGTTTGATTTCCACTGCAGTTTAGTATCGCTTTAGAGTGGGCGGGATTATTCACATGTCGCTAGTTGCGCCGCCTCTACTGTCCCGACTCCTGAAAAACTTTTTCATTCCGTGTCGCCCCATCAAGCTCTCGCTGGATCCGCTCCTCTGCTATCAACGAGAGGAATGTCTGTACTTCCTCAACAGACAATGAAACAGCCAATTTTTGTTGTTAAAAAAGGTGCGCTCGTTCAAAACAGTTGCGTTCGATCCTTCACTGGCTGTGCTGATTTAAATCTAGCGGTTCTGTTGTGTTTGTGTCACAAGTCGAGTGACGCATGTAGTGACGATTCTCTCCGGCCAATCCGTGATCAGTAGAGTTTACACGTCACGTTTTGGTAATGGTACGGTTCACTTTGAACCTCAACCGAGGTGGTACTAAAAAAAGTACCAGGTACCAGGTACTGTACCCAGTGGAAAACCCCCCAAAAGTTAACCGTACCGAGCCGTACCATGCAGTGGAAAAACGCCATTAGAGTCTGGATATCAAACTAAACACATTCAAGTTTCTGTCCTGAACTGTGACAAGCTGGATTTTTTGGATGTTTGTTTTCAGTTTGTCTGTTTGTTTGCTGCCCATTGTGAAATCTAATTTGTCCAAAATTCCAGATGCAACTCTGTTTAAACATCAAATATGTTCCAATCGGCTGAGGTTTTGTAACATTGCTATTGGAAATTTTTCCATCATGTTTGGTTTGGATATGGTGTAATGGATGTTTGTTTTCAGTTTGTCTGTTTGTTTGCTGCCCATTGTGAAATCTAATTTGTCCAAAATTCCAGATGCAACTCTGTTTAAACATCAAATATGTTCCAATCGGCTGAGGTTTTGTAACATCGCTATTGGAAATTTTTCCATCATGTTTGGTTTGGATATGGTGTAAGATTCAGTTCGAAGAAAACACTTTTCATCAGAGTGAAAACATTGGTGAAAGACTGGACTAGTATGGACCAGCCCTTTAATAACTGATCAAAGGATTTGATCATAATAGTCCAATGAGGGAACACTTAGTTTAAATAAATTAAACAGTGTAGTGATGGGCTAGCAGTCCAGTCAGTTTGGTGCATCAATTAAGCAACATTAAATGCAATGTACCTCCATTTTGCATTTCAGCTCTGAGTGCATTTCATCAATAAAAAGCTAAGCAGTGTAAAATCTGTGGCTTAGCCAAGTGTACTAGTGAAATGCAAGCCAGCGCAATGTCAAGCTTTTATAAAATCCAGTGTGGGCTAGTTAGGCTAACTGCTGTGTGCTGTATCTATGCTCTGTCCATTTCAGTTGCTACTGCAGTAGTAGCCATCATGCTTGCAAACCACATTTTTGTTTGCTTGTACCATTCAGCAACAAATCATAAGGGTGTACACCTTATGTCTCAATATGTGCATTAACATTGTATATTTACATTTATTCAATAGTCAGACACTTTTATCCAAAGTGACTTACAAATGAGAAAAATCTATGTTTTTATATGAGCAAATACTTACGAGTTGTGGCTGTGCCAACCAGTGGTGCGCTTCTCTGGTTATTTAGTAGGGCTATGATCTTTAAGATGTATTCGGTGCCTGGTTGCAGACCTGTTGTTAAATTATCACAATATGGTCACATAGTGCATTATAAATTGTGTTTTACAAGCCTAATTTACCAACATTTACAGTATGTATACCATAACTGGGGGTAATGTGATGCATTCTGGGTCTTACCAGTGATGGTGGCATAGTTCTGGCCAGCATTAGGGCGTGGTATAAGCTCACGAGGCGAACCACCTGATTCTTCATAAGTAATGTAATATCCTGTAATGTGTGTTGGAGGGGCTTGCCAAGTGAAGGAGATGGAATTGGGGGTCAGCGAAGTGAACTGGAGGTTAGTTGGAGACTGAACAGCTGGTCGAGCTGTGATGATATATAAGATAAAAAGGTTAAGGTCATACTGGTAAATTTAAATCAGTTTATTTTCAGACTTATTGCATTAGCATTTATACAGTATATTACTCTTTCCACATGGGCAGATTTGCTTAGTTGTACCTGTGTTTACAGTCATTGTGAAAGGAGGGCTTCGACTATTTCCATTCAGTGTGTACATGTTGACCACATACATGATGCCTGGCTGCAAACCTGAGGTAAGGAATACATTTCTTTCAACAAACAGCAATAATTCCAACATGGTTAAAAAAGTTATTAAAAAACATTTTTGAGTTTATCCAGACAAAGCAGGATGCAACATTTACAATAATCTACCATGGTAACCCCATTGATTTTAGACACTTCTGTGATGGTAATGCCATGGTACTCTTTGAAGTAACTGAATACAATATAAATACCATGGAAGTTAATAATACTAGTCGTTTACGTATTGAGCAAACAGTGGCTAACCATTAATGTTTAAACAGATGGCCAATAAGGGGGTTACCTATGGATTGTACAGTAACTTACCAGTGACAACATAGGTACGACGGTCAGCAGGAATAGTTTGCCTGAAGGTGGGGTGACCTCCATTTTTGGGTGTGGCTTCAATAAGGAAACCTGTCATTGGCTCATTATTGACAACACGCCATGTGAGAGTGAATGAAGTGTCTTTCACGTCAGTGATACGGACTCTGCGAGGAGGGGTTATATCTGTGGAGTTAATGAGATGATAGTTTCCATTTAATACAGAGAAACTACTAAAAATCACTCTACTGTGAAAATATGGGAAACCGACTAACTGTCAGCGGTGGTGCATTCTCCAGTGAGAGGTGAACTGCTGTCTGAACCTCTCAGTGCGTAGACATGAACCTCATAAGCAGTGGCCACCTAGAAGTAAACAACAGATATTTAGGCCATAGATGGCAAGTCATAATTCATTCAAAATAGCTACCAATACCTGAACTCCTTTGCTTAAAACTTGGTTGAAACAAAATTGAAATGTAGAAACCAAAATGTCAAATATCCTATATTTACGACATGGTTCTCTGGTTAAATTGCAGCATTCTGTTGTCAATTATCTTTGTATAATGACCACAAAACTGTATTGTCCATTGTCCCTGGCAATAAATAACTTTTACTAATTTTTCTACTTTTACTTGTGCCAACAAAGATTAAACCTATTGGTAGAGTGCAAGGTAGTAGACATATTACCATGAGCCCAGGCACTAAGACTTGTGTGGAGTCTGGTGAAACATTCATTTCTTTGGCTAGGACATACAGATTCTTCGGTAATGCCACCACACGATAGCCAGAAAGTCTGGGATTGGGTGCCTGCCATGCCACAACAAAAGAAGATGGACTAATGTCGAAGAACTCTATATTGGTGGGAGCAGGAACAGCTGGGAAAGGTGAAAGGACAAGAATCAGGACAGATCCCCTCTAACACTCAACCCTATTATCTAATTGACTAGCTTGAGAAGCTAAGTTGAATTCAGAGCGGTCATACCAGTGGGCTGAGTCTCCTCATGGGTAGTTTGCTGAGTGCCCTCAAGAGTACGGACTGGGTAACGTCCTTTCATGGGAATGACTTTAATATTGTACATGGTGCCTGGACGTAGACCTTGGAGAACCACACTGTTATCACGACCACTTAGGGCTGGTTGGTACTCTCTTTCTCCCTCCTCTGGACTAGAGTACAGAACCCTGTAGGAGGTCACTCCTGCAACCCGTGTAACATCCCATGTCACAAGCATGGAGGTGGAGTCCACATCAGAGAAGGTAAGATCTCTTGGATGCTGCAAACTTGCTAGAGAGTTGGAAGAAGATATTTAAGGGAGTATATATTGGGTGGTGTGGCATAGTGGCTAAAGCACATAATTTTTATAACTAGAAGGTTGCTGGTTCAAGGAACAACAGTGAATTATAATCATTGATCTCTTGAGCAAGTCCTTAACTCCAAGTTGGTCCAGTGAACAAGTTAGACCTGAACTACGATTTCAAAGGTTAAAAAGTTAGGTAGTTTAAAAAATAGACAAACCACTAACCTGTTGTAGCTTTCTGGACCACTGGGGTGCTCTCTCCTTCTTGGCTGAGAGCAATCACATTAATTGTATACTCTACTGTGGGCACCAAGCCACGTACGGTCATTTCTGTACGCTCTGAATAAGGTAGAAACAGAATAGTTTATAAGTCCAAGTACTGAACCAGTTCTTCCAAATCAGCTTCAAGGTTGTGAGTAGGAATAAAAGCTGAGAAAAGGGTAAAGAGCAAGAGATGTCTCACCAGGGCCAACCAGCTCAGAGAATGTAGGACCTTGCCCACCCTTGGGTGTCCCTGTTACTCTGTAGCCTGTGATGGGGCCTCTAGCTGGGCTCCAGCGGACAGTCAAGGCGTTGTCTTGAATATCAGTAACATCTAAATCTGAAGGGGATGGAACACCTGAGAATGGAGAAAAAAAAATATAGTCACACAAAATTTGTGGTAAGCTAATGGTCAGAAACCATAATAGATACAGATGTCTTGACCATGAGTGCTTACTTCCCCCTGCAGTCCTGTGTGTGATGATGACTGGTGTGCTGGAGGCTGGACTGTCCCCTCTGCCTGTCACAGCATACAGTGTGATGGTGTAATCGGTGTCTGGACGCAGGCCATGGATGATGGCAGTGGACTGTGTTCCTGGAACAGTGAAATCTCTGGGTGCATCTCTTTCACCTGAGGAACAATGAGAAGGAATCAACAGCATTTACAAGCTCAAGTGAACATACAGCAACAGAACACAACACCACACCACACCACAAACCATTTGTCATACCTGTTTCACCATGTGTGATCTTATAGTAGCGTACAGTGACTGCAGGGGCGTCCCAGGAGATTGTGATGCTAGTGGGAGTGGAGGACGTCACAGCCAGGTCAGTGGGAGCATCAGAGACTACAGGAGAAACAAGAGTCAAATCATTATACCTCACAAAGATGAACAAAACAAATCTTTAACTTTTCTAACTTCTCACCGGTTGCTTGTGTTCCAGTAAGTGGTAGAGACTCTTTACTGCCGCTGACAGCATAAATATAGACCGTGTACTCCGTCTCAGGGGCCAGGTCCACCAGTGTTAAATAATTTCTTGTCGGGGGAAGTCTCTCGTTCTTAGCGCGCCCACCACTTGTTGGCTGATAGCGTAGGCGATAATCTGTAATGATGGCACGTGGGGCCATCCAGTGCACGGTAAATGAGTTGGTGGAGACATCAGAGAAGTCCAGATTTGTTGGGGAGTCCAAATCTGTGTGTATGATGGGAACAAATTCAAGTGGAGAAACTTACAGACCAGAACAGAGAGTGGTCAGAAAACTAACAATTGAACACCATTTCTTATATCCAGATACATACTTGTCTTCTGAACACCAGTTACAGGTTCACTTTCTCTGTCGTCATACACACACACTAATTTCACCAGATACTCTGTGTTTGCCAGCAAGTCTGAATCGAGAAAATTCAGAATCAGCAAGTAAAACGTGTTAGGACTGTAAGAAGCACATGGGTGAAATAAAGAACTTTGAATGAAAGCATTAGTAAACCCTTACTCTGAAGGAGGAAGCTGTTGGTGCCACCTCCTACATTGACTTCCTGAGAGTCATCGTCATTTTTTGTGGGATGGTAGTGGATGACAAAGCGGCTAATTTCAGATGGCTGAACAGAAGGTGCAGTCCATGACACACGCATGGAGTCTGAGCCCACCTCAGCAAAGTTCAGGTTTGTGGGGGCTGGAATAGCTAAACAAGAGGAAAGAGAGAGACAATAATGTCATAAATTGAAAAGTAAAAAGTTTGTCAGCATAAAAATAAATAGCTAAGGAGTATGTTATTTCACCTTTTTTGTTAACATGAAACAGAAATACAATAAATACAAACAATATGATACCCCACCAAGTGGAAGTTATCATAGTGCATTCCCCAAGAATGCAGATAACGAACATTCTCCCAGAAATGCATCAATATTCTGAAGTAAGCAGACGATTGATTCAAAAAGCTGCACTGAGTCTGGAAATAGCTAATTGTTAATCTTGGATAGCTGGACTAGGAAGTAATGAAATTAAGTGGCTTGAACAAATGATGGTTGAGGGATGAGGGTCTCAGCCTCTCGTTTACGTCCATATTCTCCATTCCTTTCCCTTTTCTTTTACCCCCACCCTCTGAAATGTAACAAAAAACCCATGTAGGATAAATCACCAGTTTGGGTTTGCTGTGTGATCACCGAGGGCACACTCTCTGCCTCATCTGTAATGGTGGACACACTGATGTCATAATTGATGCCTGGCTCCAGTCCACGAATGGTATAATAGCTGATGGAGGAGTTCACCACGTCCTCAAAAATAGGAAAACTCTGGTCTGCCGTAACAACCGTAATATGGTATCCAGTAACTGCCGGGTAATTTAGCGGGGTCCATCTAATTCCGATTGTGGTATCCGTGAAATCAACAAAGCTGAGATCACCCACCTTGGGCACATCTTTAATTGGTTAACAAAGTTGCATTTATGGGAAAGGGAGAGAGAAAACAAGACACACAGAAGCAGTGACAATGACTAATTAAGACAAGCAGCAAATTACTGTTCTAATGCCATCAGTGCTAAAAAATGCTAATAGCTAATAATCAGAAGACATGCACACAATAATGGAAAATAAACAGGCTTTTGATTTGAATTAGTCATTCTACAAAAAAGAGAAAGTATCAAGCTCCAACTTTTCTTGCAACTATCAAATTCAATAGATATTTTCAAACATTAAAAAAGTGAAACAGTTGAGAATTATACAATTATTTCATGATGCACGAACAGATTAAACAACACCAAGGATTTATTGGAAAAAATAAATTACTGGATTTTCTTAGAAGTTAATTTTGTAATATATTAAATGCAGCTGTTTTTATGGATCTTTGCAGGATACATGTGATGACATCTAAAAGGATCAATAGCAATTAAGTAGAGTAGAAGCAGGATTATGTGGTGTAGTAGATATAGATCAAAGATAGAGACTGAGCTTAGGCTGGAGACTGGTAGCAGGTTGAAGCCCTATGAGTTGTGAGCCATGAGTTATCACCATTGTGGCCTTGATGTCTAGAGGTTATTTTTGTTCCTATTCAGTGCTTGTTTGTTTCTTTAATGATGTCTAAGCCTTCTATTTAACAATAGCAAAGCTGAAGTCTGTATCAGAGGAAGCCATCTCTCAGTTGGGTTTAATACCTGATACTATATTACCTTATGATAGGTTTACTAGCTAGTTGCCATTTAACTGTCCATTATTGGTGCAAAGCCTGGGTCTATTGATTGGCACTGAACCATAGCAGGTTAAGATTACCATGGCAAAGCTGACTAACAAGACCTGTTGGCTTGACTCTTGATATTTCAGCTGCATACTTGTGATCAACAGTCTATTATTCATAATGCTTTAAAAGCAGCATTTGGCATGCATATATACGCCAAACTGAACACCTCTTTACAAAAATATTCTTAAATATCTTAAAAGGGTGAATTTCTAAATCTGCGTATAGATAATCAGGTGACTCTCTGGATCAGTCATGGTGGTTTTGATCCAGCAGAGCATGGCTTGAACTTACCTTTATGTTTGTTATTGCTGTACATGTTGATTATAGATGGAGTCTTACCTTGCGTAATGGTGGCTGAGACAGGCTCACTCTCCAGGTGGTTTTTAACAGTATAGACACTGACATTGTATTCAACGCCAGGACTCAGGTTTTCAAGGGTACATGAGGTTTCATGCCCTCGAACAGTCTCCTCTAGAGTATTTCCACGCTGCCCATTGACTGGTGTGCACGTTACTCTGTAACCAGTGATATCTGAGAGGATAAAGGGTATATTACAAGTATAAAAAAGAGAAATACAAAATAAAATTGCAACAGTACTATGGTTGAAAGATGGTAATGCCATTTGTATATACGGTAGTAGGTATATAGGTTCTTCAAAGAATACCATGGTGTTGTCCAATAAACTATGTTTTATATTTTTGGGGAAATATCATGATTAACAAGGGATAAAAGTACATGCAAACAGAAAGTTATAATTAAATGCACTAAATGTAATAAACATCACAAACAGATGAAAGATAAGTAAACAGACAAAGAACAGTGGGAGAAAAGGATGACTGGAAGAACAGATAATTCTCAAAATGGGACAAAATTAACCTGAATGTCTGAAACAGTCCCATACACATACACATACACATACACATACACATACACATACACATACAGCCTACATAAATAGCCAAGGTCCTCCAGCATGCTTAAAAGAAAGGGTGAACAAGGGTACACAAGGGTAAGAAGTGGGTGTATAGTCAATATTTACCTGGACTTTTGGTTCTGCTCCATCTGACATTGAGTTCACCAGTGACAGGGTTAGACACCACATTCAGGTCAGTTGGTGGGGATAGGGCTAATGTGACAGAGAAAAGAGGAATGAAGTCCAACTTTAGAAAATGTACTTAGCATTTTGAGCCCTATATTACGGGCTACAAGTGTCTACATTAACATTATATTTAATCTTTTCATATCTACCAGACCTCTGTATTTGTAGCTAATAAAAAAACCTAAGCATTTGCATTCTAAAACTTTTAAAGCTTTCAGACAATGTCAAATTTACTTGAATTAGTTTGATCAGTAACTTACATGTCACAACTTTGTTTGTGATTGGGTTGCCATGCTTTCTGCCACTGAACAAGGGTTGCAAGCTGTAGATATACTCCATTCCTGGAGTTAGACCAGAAATGTAAATAGTGCCTTCGCCAGAGGTCTTGTCTCTGGGAGCTTCACCACCTTGGCTGGGCCTCACGGACATCTGAGAGAAGGGCACATATTCACTGAATATATGACTCAAGTCATTGAGTCAAAGGGAAAATACATGAGCTTATTTTCTGGGAATGTAGAGGTAAAACCCTGGTGCAGGGTTAAAATATGGAATATGGTTTTTGGAATATGGTAGCTGGTCCAAGGTGGTTTACCAGCTTGTACAACAACTTTTCACTAGGGCAACCTAGTGTTCCATCTATGACCATTACTGTAATAACCAACTTGTACTTGCTAGTACCCATATAAAACTAGCTGCCATAAAAAGCTGGCTTTTTTTCCAGCAGGGAATGGAAACACTTAAAGAAAGTTAATGTATTTCCACAACTCCTGAGAATTATATGCAAACTCTATAACGTGTCATCCAATATGTAATATTTACAATATAGTTGCATTATTTTCACCTGTTATACACAACAAACTGCTAATGTGGTAACCAGCAAATTGTAAATATAGTGTTTATACCCTGTAGCTGAATCGTGGTACTGGGGTCCAGGTAACAATGATAGATGTATCTGTGACATCTGTGGTGAATCGAGGAGCATTACCAGTTGGCTGAGCTGATGAAAAAAATAAAAAAATAAAGAGGATATTCAAAACTGAGCACTCCAAAATGGACACAGGAGAGCACCATTGTGTATTGTTTAAGAAAAGGTAGAGGGGTTACACACATGTTCTGAAGGCATCAGTGACTCCCTCGCTGAGCGTGTTCCCTTGCTCTGAGTGCAAGGTGACTATGTACTCTGTGTCAGGCTGAAGGTCGCTGAGTTTGTACTGAGACTCATGGCCAGGGATCCTCAGCTGTTTGGGGCTGGAGCTGGCCATGCTGATGAAGAGACGATAACCTGTGACCTGAGCTCTGGGGACAGACCAGATGACCAGAGAGCTGTCATCAGTGATATCAGAGAACTGCAGGTCGGTAGGGGCATCAGGCTCTGAGGGACGAGAATGTTGACTAGATGTTCACGTGGGAAATGCAGTGAAAAGTTGACAAAGATGGCATGTATAATATAAATGTAACTATAAACAGATTCAGCATATTTTGTCAGTTGTATTTTAGAAAATGAATAGCTCAAAGATAAACGTTTAAATGTCACCAACTTGTAGATTTCTCCCCAACCAAAGGTTCACTTTCCACTCCTCTGTTGACTGCATAAATATGGAAGCGGTAGAGTGTGCCAGGCTGCAGGTGTGTGAGTTCAGCATAAGCATTCTGCGTCACAGGAAGCTGAAGGGGTCTCTGTGTCCGGCCATCTGTGCTTACGGGCGCAAAAGACACACGGTATCCTGAGACCTCATTAGGAGGACCAGTCCAGGTGATGGTGATCTTGACATCGGTAACTTCATTAAATTGCAGGTCTGTGGGAGCTTGGACCTCCTCTGTTATTGAGATAGAAAGCAAAATTGCAAAATTATCTTTCAGTGCTTTACTACAAGGGGAGGTAGGAGTGATAATGTAATGTAAACACAAGACTTTGGGCAAGCTAGGATTAGGAGTGCTCAAATCCCTAACGCCCATATGTAAAAGCAGGAGAAATGGTGATGCTTGATTTAACAAGTACTACTAAATATTTTAGTCGGGAATGTCTGTATCAACACTGCATGATTTTGTAGAGTTCAAAATAGTACTCTATTAGCTTCAAGAGTGAAAAGCAAAATCACGCAAAGACTTTTCACAGTTCTCATAAGGAAGTGTGTATTTGATAAAAAGACCTCAACTGGTAAGACGAGAACAGAGAGACACACTCAACACTTCCCAGTCCATCCTTGTAAGGTTGTTTTGTTTATGAGAAAGCACTAAATCTCCCAGCTCAGGCATTTGCTAGAGTCAGCTCTCACTGTAAAATGTCAGAGAACTGGCAGACATCTTTACACATGAATGAAAAACATGGGCACTTTCACAAGCTTAGAGAAAATTTAGTAAATGCCTCTTAATAAAGTAGTTTGAACGCCAATGCAGACGTGTGTGAAAATGCGAAGTGTGTGTGAGCAGAAAACATTTTGATACAAACAGAGGTAAGAATACAAATTGTGAACTGAAAGCAAGAGAGGTAGCTAGCAATAAGCTATAAAAAGAAAAATAGAGTGGGAAGTGTCACCTGCAACATGTCTCAACCTCATTCTCCCAATAATTTACAGTCACTTTCTACAATATCTGTCCAATAAAAGCATCCCAAAATGGATCTTCTGAACTCTTACCAGGCTGTTGCTCTCCAGTAGTGCTGACCTGTAGGACCAAAGGTTCACTCTCCAAGTTGTCTTCCACTGAGTAAATACTGACATTGTATGACAGGCCAGGTCGAAGGTCACCCAGTGTCACAAATGTTTGAGTCTCGGGGAGGATGAGCTCAGTGCTGCTGCCCTCAACCGAGGGAGTGTACACCACACGATAGCCTGTGCACACATTACATGAAAAAATAGTTGATATCTATAATTCCACATTCATACATTATCAGCAGATGTACTAAAAACAAAACTTTAAGCAACTTTAGAAGACAATCTTAATGCATGAATGTTGGTACACAAATGTTACTCACCAGTTATAGGTGCTTGGGGTTTAGACCATCTGATCGTGATGGACTTCTCCTGTACATCTGAGACCTCATGATTAGTTGGAGCATCAGGTGCTGTGAATAAATAGACAATTATTTTGAATGTGCAGTGCATTCTGATGACTCTCGTGGCTGGATGTTCTGTAAATGGAAGAATCTGTAAATGAGGAAAATTTTGTTTTGAACAAAAGAAAATTTATTTTGTTGCCGTAACCAAACATTTCATGAGGCAACCCATTCTTAGCATCAAAACAACAATGAAATTTGAGCAACAAAATAATCATGTCAGTAATGCTGTTTGCTGTGAATATGAAATTTGAAAAACATCTATATAATAACATATTTAAATTAAATAATGCACAATACTGTTTCATGTCTGGTAAGAAAAATTAATAGCTATTAAATGTTCTCAAAAAGTTAATTTTGGACCCTGTGCACAATGATGGGCATCTTACCAGTGGTCTGAGTGGTTGTCAGGATGAGATTTGTATTTCCTTCTGGATTGACTTCAAATACTTGGACATTGTACCTACGGCCAGGCAGAAGATCTTGGATGTTTACTGATGTAGATGTTCTTGGGAGGTCTGTGGGGGGAAAAGGGTAATTATGAAGTCAATACAAATTTTTAACTGATTCTAATTGGATAAGAATTGTATTATAAATTTAGCTTCTTTAGCTCAAATCAGGCTATTTTCCAGTTTTTCTTCTCATTGCAGTCATGTTGAGCATTAATATTCCTCTGTTCATTTTTTAACAAGCGGCGTGTCTCTGACTATACTCACCAATCACACGTGGTTGGGCTCCTTCCTCAGAGAGTTCATATTCCACTCTAAATCCAGACACTGTGTCAGATGCAGATACCCAGGAGATGACGAAGCTGCTGGAGGTGATTTCGGTAATGGACTCTGAAGTGTCCACTACTGGCAGGGGCTGGGTGGTCTCACCCTCTGTTTTGTCCACTGCAGAAAGGGGAATGATGAAGTTTTTGGGTGTTTTTTTCAATAGCAAGGTTTTTGAAAGTTCTATGGAAAAGAAAAGAATTGAACATAAAAAGATAAAAAATCTACGTACAAGAGCCATATATAGTGGTGAAGTCAAAGCGAGTGACCTCTCTTGGTCCATAGCGTAGAATACTGATCAGCTGACCCTCATAGGTCAAACCTGGTTTAAGCCCTGAAATGGTGTAAGAGTTGATGTGCCCAGGAATGGTCACCTCCTTCCAGGGTGTACGTGTGTTTTTCTGTGAAAGGAAAATGTTACACGCTGAAAAATATAGAAGCTAAAATCACCAAACTTGATCAAGCAGGTGAATCTGCGGTAAAACTTGAGTACGAATATTTTTTACCTTTACACATTGTTAAACAATTAGATCCTGCTTTCTGTACATGCCTTGAAATAGCTTTGACGTATGTTGCAAAGTAACAACGAGTGGGTATTACGATAAAGGCCAGGGCCCGTATTCATGAAAATTCTTAGTGCAAAGAGTTGCTCCTAGTGACACAATTCTAAGAAAAATGTTCCTCTTAAAATTAAAGAAAAGATCCTAAGAAAGTAATTCAGAAAGCATCTTAACCCTTAAAAGAGCTCTTAAGGTCCAAAATTGTTAGGAGTACAGACGGGGACTTTTAAGAGGCTTAAGAGTTTCTTTAGCAGTGGAGAAAATGGACGAAACATGAAGAGGGAGAAGAAATGTGTTGCACACAATGCATGACAGTGAGTTAACAAGATGCTACACATTAGATGGTGCAGGGATCATGTTTGTGACCGATCTTATTAGAGACACGCTAACATCTCCGACGCCGTGCAGAAATGTCATAGTGCCAGAAATGGAAGTAAATCACTACATTAACTACATTAACATTTCTATCAGGACCACTATCGTCAAAGATGATTGACTATTAGCATACAGTTTGGATTGGCGGTATGGTTCTGTTCTGGGCAAGAACTCCCTGCTCTCATCCATGCAGCCCAGCATGGATGAGAGCAGGGAGAGCAGCGATAACCCCCCAGGGTAAACAGAACAGAACCTTCATAAATGTATTGCAGATATCGTTAAAGTTCAACAATGTTATGTACACATTTTAGAATTAGTCTGATTCAAAGGAGAATCAGAAGGCTGAATCCTGACTGACAGAGGAGGAGTTGGGGATGGAGGAGGGTAATTAGCTATTGAGCAATGCGAAAACTGCTGATAATACTGAGGGACCTTATATATGAATGCTTAGATAGGTGTCGTATTCCCATAGGTTGATGGGGATCAGCTGATGCAAGCTTGACTAACGTGACCTGCCAGAACTAAAGCTACGCTAGATATTTGGCAACTGGAAAAATACAACTATGCAGCAGTGATTATTTGGGTCTGTCACAACCTTCTATAAGCAAAGTGATCACACAAACAATTACAGCACTTTCAGAACCTTATTGTGTCGCTGTTCATTTCCTATAAAATATGTTAAGTATGACAGCATGGTAAATACAAAAATTAAAGAATATATATATATATATAATGTGTGTGTGTGAGTACGGTAAAACAGGAAAAATTACGCCTGTAATTTCAAAGTAAAAGCTTATAATAGATGCTACTCTTAAAAGCACTTTTTTATTTTCTTCTTAGGCAACCAACTAATCACATTATTTAAAAGACTGTATCATAGCTAGCAACGGGGTCAGCCCTGCCTCCTCACTAAGATAAAAGTTTTTGTATTTTCCTCGCTCAGAGTTGCTCTCAGATTGGTCCTGGATCACTTTTAAGCTAAGACTCCTAGTTAGAAATTTTTAAGCTAAATTAGGAGCTCTCTGAGAAGATTCTTAGAATCTTTAAGAATACGGGCCCAGAATGTTAAAGATCTCTTGACATTTAAAATTAAGAAAATTGAAAGTATTTACAAAATATATCAGATTGGTTGTTTGAATGTGGTTTGGCCTACAAAAATAAAATATTGTCCAAACACAGCTTTTAAAACGCCCTGCCAGGGGAAAAAAAAAAAAAGAAATCTGAAAACCCTCTTTCTTTTAGTTAATAAGAAAAAAAATGCACAATTTTGCAACTTTACACTGAAGTCTATGTTTCATCGTGTCAGAGTGAAGAGTAAATGTGTGTTTTTAAGTTCAAGGACTGTGGCTTGTTTGTGTGTGTAGCGTCTGGAACACTCCAACACACAATATATATTTTGTTAGCTAGATTTCATGAAATATCATCATATGCACTTTAGCATAGGCAATCATCCCTTGCCGACAGAGGCACACAAACATTCACTGAAGGAACAAAATGTCTCTCATTCCAGGAATCTGGATTTAAATGATGCTGTTGTGCTCTTCCTTACTGACATAAATTGTCACTAAACCAATATCACCATAAAAATCCAGCTCTGAAAATCCCCATAACGTGAGAGTAGAAAACACAAAAACTTACGACTCTCCACTTCAGGATATATTGCGTAATGTGGGCAGATGGGGGAGGGTTCCATTGGATGGGATGGGAATTCTGTTGATTTCCAGCTTCTGTGATGATGACCCGAACAGGAGCTTTTGAGGAGGAGGATAAAAATTAATGATTAACAGTCTGATTAGATAGTTTCATATTGCCACTGTATTTAATACGACATATAAAACGTGATAAACTTACTCTGAAAGAAAGGGAAACAAAGAAAGGAGAAAAGTCTTTAAAAACAGTCTGTTTCATATTAAGAATTTGAAAAGAAGTTTGGATAAGACAATCAAATCTGTTGTCTGGCCAGATGTCTGAAAATGGAGCAAAATACCTCAGTTTTTCAAGTGAGGGGTAATAAAAAACAGTCCGGAGGATGATTGCATGGGTGTGGTGTTAAAAATCACACCCGGCCATAACATTCTTCACCCACTTTACCCTTTATTATCCCCAGGCCTTCACAGAGTTTGGTTAACAGCTGCATGCAATTCAACACAGTGAGGTCATTTTGAACAATTCTAATGTCCCCTTCACCTCTGGCAGAAAATACATGAGCCTTTGTGGTGTCAAACCGAAATTACACAAAACGGTAAGATGGTAACCCAGATACAAATTCACAGTGGCCCTTCAAAAGTACGACCTTCAATATACAGCACTAAAGACAATCGTTCACAGATGGTCTGAGTACATATTGCGGCTGATCATTTTTGGTTCTGTGAAGGTCATAAAAATACAGCTCACACTTTCCTCAAAAAAGGCCAACACAGCTAACAAAAGGCAACCTGTCTTACATTACTTATCGCTACTCCTACAGGCCATTTGGTTGCACAGAATCACAAATGAACAGCAGACCATGGTCTTAAAAGCTATAAATGCTATGTGAGAATCACATTTGGTATTTTGCACGGATGTGCCGTAACCATAGACAAAAATAAAATGTTTGAAAAAAAGGGCTCTAACACAGTGGTGCTCAAAGGCAGGATTTTTAATGATAAACTGTTTGTAGCACTAAGCTATCATATGGATACTTTAATGGTATATTCTGAAGCTTGACAGCCTCAGTTACTTAAATGTATCTACTTCAATTGTAAGTAAAAGTGCAGACTGGATATTCTGCTAAATCCATGTTCCATGGAAGAAAACAAAATATAGCATAAACACCTGTTCCATCTGGCTAACTACAAATGGTTAATGTTCCCCCTGTCATGAGGTTACACACTAAAAAATGCTGGGTTAAATACAACCCAGTGCTGGGTAAAATAGGGACAACCCCAGCAATTGGGTTGTTTTGACCCAGCGGTTGGGTTACTACCCAGAAGGTTGGGTTAAACATTTAACCCAACCGCTGGGTCAAAACAGCCCAATTGCTGGGTTTGTCCCTATTTTACCCAGCACTGGGTTGTATTTAACCCAGCATTTTTTAGAGTGTAGAAAGAGGTTGACATCTGCTACATCTGCTGAGTTTCAAAGAGGTTGTTGATTATAAATGACAGACGAGAAATCCTTCAGTGGGACGATTTGGAAAGTGACTGTTGGCATCAACAGATGTCCTGCTTCTTGTCTTTGAATTCACTTTTTTTCTGTTTCTGTTAGCTAGGTCTTTTTTGAATGATTGGTAAATTGTTGAGATATCTTACCAGTAGACTGCAGAGGCTCACAGGCCAGTTCTCCAATGCCATTACCATAGCAGGAACATCTATATGGGACACCTTGGATGACTTTGTTCCATGTCTCGCCAATCTGGTAGAACGCCTTGGACTCGGGTTCCTGGCACTGGTCTAAAGAGAAAGAATAAATGGTTTGTGTAGAGAAATTAAAAATAGTCTTTCTTTCATTACAACTCTCAAGTTTACAAAAACTATTGTTTAAATCAAGTCTGTTCGATTTGAATTGAAGGAAACATGAGCCATTCATGTTGTAAAAAACTTTGAATGTATAAAGGGAAGTTCTGACATTTTGCAAAAAAGGTTAGAAAAAGAAAACAGAACAAAGGATTCAACATAGCAACAGAATTAGAGAGTGTTGGCTTACCAATGGCATCACATCTCCAACGACCACGACCTTGGCCAAAGCATGTGCAGTTCATCATGTAGCCCTGGTCATGACGCTTATCGAAGGTTTCATTCACATCATATGTCTGTCCATTTACAATGCACTGGTCTGAAATAGAGAAGATTTTTTTTGAGCAACTTTTTAATGACTATGACTGACAAAAAAAAGGGAGATCTAGAAGCATTTTGGAAGATCTGCATCCTCTATACTCCCGATTTTAATTTGTAAGTAGAACCTACATGGTTTTAGATATTATCTGAGGCTACTTGGCTAAAAAAGTGACAGTAAATTCTTTACATTGTTTAGAATTCTAATCAAAAACACTATTTTTAAACAAATGCTGTTCTTTTGAACGTTCTATTTATCAATAAATCTTTTAAAAAATGCATCAGAGTTTCCTACAAATATTAAACATAACCATTTTCAACTGCGATAATAACAATAAAAAATGTTTCTTGAGCAGCAAATCAGCATATTACAATGATTTCTGAAAGATCATGTGACAGTGAAGACTGGAGTGATGAAGCTGAAAATTCAACTTTGCATCACAGGAATAAATTACATTTTAAAATATATGTAAATAGAAAACAGCTATTTTGGACTGAAATAATATATATACCAATAGCATTGTTTAGCGAATTTTTGATCAAAGCATAAGAGACTTAAAAAAAATCTTACAAACCCCAAACTTTTACAGTAGTGTATATAAAATAATATATATTTATAGTATAGTATACAGAAGTGTATATATATTTAATGTATTTTGTATTTACTATATTTCATAATGTAATAATCTATTGCCATGTTCAGAACTACTTTTTGAAATATCAGTGAAATATATTTGTAAGATACTGTATTTGTGTATTTGAGAACATCTAATGACCTTTGAGCTGAGTGTAAGAAATGCAGTTCCATTCTCCGCGTCCATTGCCCTGGCACGTGCAGCGCATCATGTGACCAAGTGTGTCATGGGGCTTGTCCCACTCGTCACCCACACGGTACATGACATCATTAATGGTGCAGACTTCCTCATGAGCTGGATTAAAATGAAGAAAGGGAATCTATGATTGCATAAAAACCAAATACTTACAACAAGCATGTCTATTCTGAATGCACATTACGTTCTGTGTCCATTCTGATCTCATTCTCCCTGGAGCCAAGCCAGGAACAATCTCTGGTCTGGACCAGAGCCAGGCTTAAAACCCTGAGAAGGGCGGACCCCATAGATTCAGTCATTGAAGCCACAAATCAGTACCCCATTACATGGCCTTAAAAACTCCAACTCCCTTAATGGCTCTTAAATACATCTAGATAACGCATTTGCAGACCACTGAGTGTCATAGCCTGAGCACATAAATGACCAATTAAGGCCAAAATAGCTATTACTGTCTATAAAACCTGACTTCAGCTGAATGCATTTAAAAGAACCAATTATTTAAACAGATAAAAACCTACAGTTATACTCTTACTGACACACTGAGTACATGAAAACTCTATAAATGTGCTATTTCCTCCATTATACATAGAGGAACTGAGTTTGTATCGCAGTGAACAAAGCCAGTACTGCTGTGGGAGAACTGCTTAGTAAAACTTAGCCATTTCTAAAAGGAGAAAATTTGATCTAAAGCAAGCATACTCACCAGCCATGGGACAGAACCCGTATTTCCGATCTGTATCATAGTCAGTAGTGGTACCACACCACTTCATGCTGTCCCGACGGCCGTCAGATGTGCAGTCGGTGTAGTTGCGTCCATTATACTTGAAGGGAAACTGGCACAGAGCACCATTAGAGTTTCCTCCACGAGTCGTCACAAGCTCTGAAAGTCCAAAAACAGGAACAATCAGACAAACTAAGAGTGAATCTCGATTGATTACTTTAATCTGCACTCTAGTGAAAAGACCACATCACCAACTTTGTTTGTTTCAACCAAGGCTTCACCTCCTTGGTCAACCAGTTTTACCAGGAAGACCATGCAGTGTGGTTATGCTGGTCGAAACCAACATAAATTGGGAATTTTGCTAGTGTATACAAGTTGGTGTATTCAAAATACATAAAGAAAGAGGTTCTGAAATACACTTACGGTTCTTCCGGGTACAGAATGAGTACATGCCATCACTGTCATAGTTAGATGAGGTACTGCACCATAACTGCCCATCGGTTCGGCCCTCAGAGATGCAGGAGTAGTGGGTGTTCTCACTAAAAACAAAGGGGAACACACATGGCTGCCCATCGGAGTTTCCACCATAAACAAAGGACTGTCCGTCTGCGTAAAGCAAGGAGACAACAACATTGTCAATGGAATCAGGGGTGTTTCAAACATTAGAAATAGGGGGTTCATGTCACACCAACATTTGGAAATTTCTATACTCATCCTTTTTGGTAGATAATCACTTTGCGCCAAAACAGTGTGTTTTAGGCCTTTTACCTATAGCTCAAACAATAGATCATGCTGCTAGCAATGGTAAACTCATGAGTTTGATTCCCGGGAAATGCACAAACTGTTAAAATGTAAACTGAATGCAATGTAAGTCGCTTTGGACAAAGCCTCTGCCAAATGCATAAATGTACTAAGTTTCCTATTTGTTTGTTTTTTTGGTGCCATTTTATGCACAGAAGTAGTAGAAAAAGAACAAGTGGGCGAGAAACAATTTAAACCTACATTGGTCACATGACCTTCAAGGCTCAACAAAGGCGTAAAGTATGCACGTAAAGTTTCCAAGAACTGGTTAACATAAGAAGTGTACAAAATATTCTTGAATTCGTAAATTTAATTGAAATAAGTAAACATCACCTTGCTCCTCGCAGCTGATTCCTCCTCCAACACAAGTGCACAGCATCTCCTTGCTGCCCTGAGTTCTGATCCAGCTCATGCCATTGGAATAGTACACACCAGAATCAGTTTTACAGTTGCCCTCCTCAAGAAGTTCAGACAGGACATTGACTTGGTTCATCACTTGTGAAACTCTATGAGCCACGGAAGAGCCAGATCCTTGTCACAAACACAAAAGACAAGCTGTTGAAGCACAACATGCATATATAAAAATGTAGGAATACAATTTCCAAAGGTTTTCTATTGGATTTTTTTTCTTCTGAGAAATGTAGTATCAGTCACATTGGGATCATGGGAAATATGATTCTATGATCCCAATGAAATTCCTACAAATCTTTTTGATTCTTAGAGACGGGACTGGACTCTTCTGTACTGTAATCCTTTTCAGACCTTAATTTGTATCGCATTGGAATAATGTTCTGATACTCTTGATTTACTATTCATGGAAATTGCATTAGGAGCTTTAGTTTAACAATTCTGAAAGTTTCCTTTTAAAATTATACAGGGACATTTATCCTAATGTGTAACTTGAGATCTACTGTATGTGTTTTAAGATCTATATTTTGTCATATGTTACACTTCAATTTCAATTTGGATCCTTTCAGACTTGCTACAACAGATATTCTAATAGGCTTCCTTTGGTTTATGTAATGAATATTTGGGCTGCTGCACACTTATGCGATATATAATCTACAATAATGGCAATTTTCTCCTACAACTTAAAAAATATTGTACCTTGGCTTTAGTGTGTAATCATGTGAAACTTAACTCGCAAAAGCATGGATAATTGGAATTAAATAATGCAATTATGCTTCTAAGTCCTTTTCATCCATTTGACAGCAGATTTTGTATACTTACCAATGGCGGTTGTTGCATGGGAAGCAGCATGTCTATCACACTTCCATTCTCCACGACCATTGCCTGTGCAAAGACACTGCAGAGTGTTTCCATTGGAGTCAGTTTTGGTCCAGGTCTCACCAATACGGTATGAGGTTCTGGTATCTTGGTCATTACAGCGGTCTGAAAAAGACATTGAAACAGGTCAAGGTCATGGCTCATAACAAACATGGAAAAGCCTCTTTACTGAGATGCATTCACATTCAATTATCCATCCCTTGTTTGGGAAACACCTCCACACCATCACACTTCAGTAGGTTGTCTTTATTTATGACCATGATGAAGATCTTAATAGTGTTTGATCACCCACTCCACTTCCTTTCCTTCCAACTTCAATAGCCCTGAAAAGTGAATGCTGTAATTTTCCATGTGCATGCTCCCATCCAGCAATAGGAAGCTTGCAGCTCTGCAGAACTCATTGATAATTATGTAATAAGGGTGTGTCGTACAAATAACTACAAAGTCATGAAAGGAGACATGTGAAAATGCTGCACTATGGAGGAACAAACCGGACCTTAGTAACAAGTAGGCTTCTTTCTGATGTTGAAGACATGCAATATTGAAAGCAAGCTCTTACTTCTGGAGGTGCAGGTGATGCGTCCGTTGCCCTCCCCCAAACAGGTGCAGTCTACTATCATCCAGCCTTGATAGGGTTTTTGCCATGTCTGACCAACCACATATGAAGATCCTAGTGTGTCATCATAGCAACGCTCCGCTGTGAAGATACAGTAAATTTAGCATCTTGTTCCTTCCACTCAGGTGTGGCATGCTAGCATGCCAAGTTTCAGAAAAGAGGCGTATGCAATTTCATCTTAGTGGGCATTTACACACAACCACCCAAGCAACAAATAAACAAACCAAACCAACAAACATATAATGACATAATTTACAGGGCACATAAATAATAAATAAATAAACAAACATGTTAATAAAAATACAACATATACAACATTCGCATATCCTAAACTTTCAGCAAAATTACAAATATATAGTTCAGTCATAAAACTCTAGATGGCGCATTCTGATGGGGTGTTAACGTAACTGATGATATTCAGAGAGTTAAACGACTTGGCACAAGCTGATTGGTTCATGATGCATATGCAGTCAATGAGCTTACTGCCTTGCATTTATATGGCTGGCTAGCATTCACTTGAGATTCCAGCAGCGCGCTTTCAGAGTTCTCTGAAACCCTCCACCTTCCCCAGCTCCACCTGTATAGATCTGCTACGGGGTTATTTTATATGCTATTTGTGCAGCAGCAGTATGTTTTAAATACTCGTGCCACCGTATCGCCATATGCATTGGCAGTAGCAAGTTCCTGTACTTGCTTGCAGCAGCAGCAATAAGCTACAACTACAGCATTAAACCAACAGCAGCAGCCATTCATAAGCAGCGTAGCAGATCTGTTCCACCAAGACCAAATACATTAACATTGTCACATCCATCACCATGCTAAAATGTTCAGAGTTGTCATGATTGAACTGATTTTAAAATACCTTAAATAATTATGCCTGCTTTGTAGCTGTTTGAAAACAACTTTATACAGATTTACAGGAATAGCTATTAGTCTGCAAACTGTTTGCAAAGACAAATGTACAGGTAAACACTGACTCACCAACTGGTTTACAAGTCCACTCTCCCTTTCCATTGCCAAGGCACACGCATTCAAGCATGTAGTCTCCAGTGTCGTGTGGTCGTGTCCAAGTGTCCCCGATTCTGTATGAATTTCCTCCTTCATGACACCGATCTGTAAACAAGAAAGAAAGAAAAAATGGATCAGTTTTGTAATGGGGAACATTTTTAATTTACAGATCATGATTTTTTTTTTGACTTACTTGCGATAGTGCAGCTAATTTTGCCCTTGCCGGACCCAATGCAGGTACAGTCCCATATCATGCCATCCTTCGGTCGCTCGTAGGTCTCTCCGACTCGGTAAGAGCGTGCATTGAATTTGTCATAGCACGTCTCCTCGGCTACATGTGTCAAAATGAACAGATAAACTAAATATCTCTCTCTACATCATAATACAAATGCATCACGTAAATACAGCTTCATAATAAACACAGGCAATGAACTGTCAACTCCAAAGCGCGCATATACGTGCGTAATTGAGCAGATATTGTTTTTGCACCTGTCAAAACTCGGACTGTTTCTTTTACTCTCTCTGCTCCCTGGTTTACCTCTGAATTGCGTCTGCTTAAAACTAAAGGCCATAGGCTAGAGCGTTTATACGCTAAATCCGGTCTTACTGTACATAAAGAAATGCTTGCTGACCATATTCATCATTATAAAGAAGCATTGTCAAAAGCAAAATCGGACTACTATTCTAATATAATTGGAGCCAGTGAAGGGAACTCTAGATTTCTTTTTTCTGTAGTGAAGAATTTTCTGTGTCCATCTGACACTCTGCCATTAAATTTGTGTTCTACAGAACTATGCAACAGTTTTATGACTTTTTTTTAGTCTAAGATTAAAAAGATTCTTCAGCAATTACTTTCTAGCAATTTAGGTTACGATTCCAGTTGTCAAGTCTCCCAAGTGACTGTGCATTCTAATCTTACTACTTTTATTTTTACCAACTGCTGCAGAGATATTGTGTTATATTCTGAAATCTAAAACTACCACTTGTCAGCTTGATCCACTGCCTACCTGCTTAGTTAAAGCCTGTCTACCATCTCTCTCTCCATTAATTACTAAAATTACTATTAATTCACTCTTCACTTGTTTCTGGTTCTGTACCTTCTTTTCTTAAAACTGCTATTATTACCCCTATTCTAAAGAAATCAGGGACTGATCCATCAATTTTTGAAAATTATTTACCAATTTCTAATTTACCATTAATTTCTAAAATCTTGGAAAAATGTGTTGCATCTCAAGTTCACAATCATCTCTCCAATAATACATTGTTTGAGCAATTCCAATCCGGTTTTCTTCCTCATCATAGTACAGAGACTGCTCTTGTCAAAATTACTAATGATTTGTTATTGGCAGCTGATTCTGCTTTGTTAACAATACTTGTCCTTCTTGACCTGAGTGCGGCCTTTGACACGATCTCGCACAAGATACTCCTGGACAGGTTAGTTTCAATAGGAATTACTGGCACCCCACATTCCTGGTTTAGGTCTTATCTTATCGGTCGCACTCAGTATGTTCAAATTATTAAATTTTTTAAAATCAAGACCATCTACAGTTACTACTGGTGTCCCCCAGGGTTCTGTTTTGGGCCCACTCTTATTCATCATCTATTTACTTCCTCTTGGCTATATTCTCAGGAAATATGGTATCCACTTTCACTGCTATGCCGATGACACCCAGCTCTACCTGTCTTCTAAACCCTCTAGTTCTTTTCTTCCACCTTCCTTGACTAGATGTTTAGATGAAATTAAAGACTGGCTTTCAGCCAACTGTCTAAAATTCAACAGTGATAAAACTGAGGTCTTACTTATTGGTACAAAATCTACTTTGACTAAATCTGATTGTTTTACAGTGGATATCGATAATAATGCAATTTGTCCTTCTCAGCAGGTTAGGAGTCTGGGTGTCATTCTGGATAGCACACTATCTTTTGAAGCTCATGTCAATAATATTACGCGTACTGCGTATTTTCACCAACATAACATTAATCGCCTTCATGCCTCTCTCACAATGAATAATACTGCAATTCTTATTCATGCACTGGTTACCTCACGTATCGACTATTGTAATGCTCTCCTTACTGGTCTTCCTTCTAAACTTCTCTATAAACTTCAATTGGTTCAGAACTCAGCAGCTCGTGTTCTTTCTAGGACTTCATCAATAGAGCACATTTCTCCAGTTCTCCAACGTCTACACTGGCTCCCAGTAAAGTATAGCATTGATTTTAACATTTTGCTTCTCACATTTAAGGCACTTCACAACCTTGCTCCACCGTATCTTACGGACCTTCTCCAAATCTACTACTCCTCGCATTCTCAGATCTTCACTCTCAATCTCTCTTGTGTCGCCGCGTGTACGTTTAAGCACCATGGGAGCAAGAACTTTTAGTTTTGCGGCCCCTCGCCTATGGAACTCTCTTGCCCCCAATATACGGAACAGTGACAGCCTTCATACTTTTAAAACTCGTCTTAAGACTTAGCTTTTTACCCAGGCTTTCTTATGACTTGCTCTTATTAATTGCTCTTATTATTGCTCTTGTAAGCCTTTATTGTATTCATGATGTATGCAGTTGTGCTGTTGAATTTTGTAA